ACCAACATGGATAAGTATTTTTTAGTGTTGCAATTACTATAATATATGATGTTTTCCACACTGGCTGCATATGGAGAGGCTCTACCTTGGGTGATCTAGGATGGCAAAAATTCACGCTGTCGGCCAAAAGGATGCTCACGGATTCAAGCATTCTTTGTACTCATAGCTTTGTGCATGTAAATAATAATAATAATAGTAATAATAGTAATAATAGTAATAATAATAATGTAATGCATTTTAATCATAAAACACATTCAATTTGTAAAAACAGATTTAAAAGTGATACAAAGGAAAACTTAAAACAGATAAAAGCACACAGAGTGTTAAATAGGAAAAGTTTTAATGGAATGTTGGCCCTGCATTGATGAGTGCTTTGACATTTATCAAATGTAAAAGTAGCCTGAAACCTGTCCCAAATTTTTTTTTTTAGTATTTTATTGTGAAAAAGGCTAAAAGAAAAAATAATGTGTGTTTTTCACCTTTATTTACTGAGCAGTTTCCCGTTAGGTTGTTTAATTTGTGTAGAAATTGAAGGAAACTGAAGAAGTTTTAAAATTTCATGGGGTGATTCCCTCTGTTTAGTCCTTATAACAATCCAGTGCTGTGAAATATTGGATACATTTAATTTTAACATCTAATGAAATGTTAAATTAGCTAATTTACTAAGTGAACTAATTTATAATCAAATGATTTAACAAAAAGTGCACAACAGTGAAACATTAACTAAATAGTAAGCAGGACCATTTTAAGGATTCCTCTGTCATTTGACAAACCAATATATCTGAGAAAGGAGGAGGCAGGTGATTTTACTGAGTACCTTTATTACTAAACAGAAATACTCGCCCAGAGCATCTTCCTGAATTTAGTCTCAAGCTTTAATCTGCTACATTTTATCATTATTTAATCATAATGAACTCTGCATGAATGTTGAACATTTGTCATTATTCTTTACTGTAGGAAGTTGATATTTCTTTATTACCAAAGGGTACAAACAAAACAAAAGAACTGTGATGACTAATTTTTGAATATGGGTGTCAGATTATTGCTCAGGTTATTTGTTTGTGTCACTCATTCTTCTATCTTGGCCCTGGCTTTACTTTCACATGTGTGTGAGTAACGTTATTACCTCTGCTCTGATTCCCTCTGATCTGATCTGTAGTCGTTCCTGGTTTTTTTCATCCACACAAGATAAAGCAAAAACTGACCGTCTCCTTGTTTGTCACACATCCTGCCCAAAGTTAACTCACTCTGATCACCGTGCTGCAGTAAAATTTTGACCTCCTTTAATAACACACTTTCATCTACCGCAAAGCTAAATTCATTTTAAGTCAGTGAACTTGAAAGGGCACCTAGCACTGAAGAGTCGCTTTTTTTGACGAATTTATTCTTGGACAACTTCACCTCACAGCAAGCTGTGCTTGTGGTTCATAATGTGAGGGAAATATTTCTTCCGATGGTCTTTTATACTCTATGTTTAAACATGAAATATAGTGAAGGTGAACTCGGTTGCAGAGGATGGATGTGGCCTTTTTCTTTGCACTGAACATCATCATCCAAACAGTCGGCCTTTTTTACTCAGCATGAGGCTTTTTCCCCGCTCTTTTAGCTAATGGTGCATTAAGATGTTCTCAACAGTCGTTTTTTTCCTTCTGGAAGGATGAAAGCTGCATATCAGAAGCTCATATTGGAAAATATCTGTTTATGAGGATTGGTAATACCTTTTTTTCAAGAAATATCTTGTTTCATGATTTCAAAATCTATTATAGCTTAAGTTTTTTTCAAGATTTCTAAATAATGGAGAGAATGATTATATCACAGGGAAATAGAATAAATTTGTTTTGCTTTATTTGTTACATTTAAAATAAAGTTGGTGAACATTGTTATTCTCTATGTTATTTTATAGCTGAATTCTATGTTTAATTAATCTTCCTCTTTTTCTTTAAGATGTTATGGAGATTTTTGCTGAGTATCTTCACTTTCATATACATTTTCATCTTAAAGTTGCTTTATAAGCTGCAAAAGAACGTGTTATGTATCAGGTCTTTTCTCTGCTTCTGGGAAGCATTTAGAAACACTTAAATTCCTTTTATTAACCTGTTCCTGCACTTTGCCCTTCAGCTGGCTGAAAGAACACTGGTACACTTTTCTCTTAAGCCTGCTGCATACTTCAAGAAAACCAATACAAGAACAATAAAAGAAAAAAGAGTTATACCTCCCAGTGTTCATAATGCATAAAATGCACAGCGGCAGAAGTCTGCACGTCTATAACATGTTACTGAAGATTGACTGACAACAGTGGGGGAGGGGGGCCAAGAAAGAGTCAAGCACAGGGCAGGCAGAGAGTTGGAAATAGGGGAGTAGCAAGACATAAGAACTCCTCTCTTTTCTGGTGTTATTTGAATTTCCCTTTGTGGATTAATAAAGTATAATGGAATCGGACTGAATTGAAAAGACTCCACACTGTCATTTCTTTGTGTTTTACGAAAGCTAGACTGTCCAAGTGTAAGTGTCCTGCGGCAAAGTGAAATAACTGACTGGACATCATAACAACTAGAGCTTTCCTTGCAAAGCATTCTGGGATTTTCTGCCCCAGTGGCCTATTTTTACCATAGGCTCGCGCTACCCAATAGCAGTGACTAATAACAAAGATGACTCAGGCACTGCGCAGTGGAGGAGTTACGTGACCAATGGAGCAAAAAGCAGTGATCATCTGTCCAAACGGTCAGTTAACTAAGGTTGCTATAAAGTCCACTATATAATCCCCGCTGTATGTGGACACAGTAAGCTTGTATGAGCTATGAGAACAGCACATTTCAAACCTTACCGACAATAAATTGGCTTTTTAATTTAAAAGCTATTAAAATAAGAAGCTGAAAAACAACAACAATCAGGAAAATAAAAAAGGAAATAATAAAGGGCAATTCAAGAATCACCAATGAAAAGTCACTTAATTTCTGCTGGAGGCAGAATTAGCATCTGCCCTGACTAGCAAACTTTTTTTCCCCTTTTTTTTCTGACGAGCAACTCTGAGGCAGGAGTTTTCTGTTCACATCACGTCACGTCTGAAAATTGATAGCTTTTAAATTAAAAAGCCATTTTATTGTCGGTAAGCTTTATCACAGGCACACTCAGTAGAGTTAGAAAAGCGCACCCTTTCCGAGGCTGTCGTTCTATTGGCTGGAAAGGTTGCTAGGCGACGATCCGATCCAATCTGAGAGAGAGCTAAAAAAATCCGCAAGCAGAGCCTACAGGTTTGCAAGCGTAACCGAGACTCGAGCAGAGCGCGGTTTGTGCGCAAAGAGAAGGAGGCAAGCGAGAGGAGAAAATATCTGTGCAAGAAGCATTAAATCTGAGAGAAGAAACAAAGATTTGAGAGAGAAGAGAAAATATTTGAGAGAGAGCGCATGTTTTGAGTGTGAGCATTATAAGTTTTGAGTGCAAAAAGATGAGATTCTTTTCTCAAATTGAAATTATGTGCTCTTGCATTATGGCAGGATAATTCTCCCATACAATTCATGCGAAGCGACGAATATTCCAGAAGTCTTTTCATCTGCATTTACTTTTGGTTAACTCAAACATCTAAATGGCAATTCTGAAAGCTTTAGTTTGAAATTGAAGCAGAAATAATTCAAGAGCCTGTTGCTAATCCTCATGTGATCGGCCTTTATGTCGTGACCCAGTCTTTACGAATCATTTACTGTGTTAAAGACTTTAGTGACATAAAAGCTTTTTCCCTCCCTCCTAAGGTGTTATTTAAACATTACGTTTGTAATTAAAAGTCAAGGACATACTTACACCTTGACCCTAAAGCAAATCAAGTTTTCATTCCATTTGTAGTACTTTTAAGTTTCTTTTGCTGTGGATTTATTATGGAAATAACTGAGACAGAGACTTTCTGCACCGTTAACCCCACAACTGAAAGTGATGCTGTAGGAAGTGATTGTTCAGCTTGCTTCCTGTCCATGTTTTTCACAGGTTAGGTATGAGGCACAGAGGAAACCAGAGTCTGATGGCAGATTTGAGACCGTTTAGATTAAATCTGAAACAGTTGGTCTCTTAATGCTGTAGAATTTGATGGATTCATGACTAAACAATAGGGCAACATTTTAAAAAACATAGATTTTTCAATTCTCCATTAATTTTCAGATTAATTCTTAGATTGATTCATATAACTGAAAATATTTGTTTTACAACTTGATTTTCCACTGCTACCAAAGCTTTATTAATTTGCCGTTATCAAAATGTTCCATAACTGCACTGTCATTCTATTCAAGTGAGAGTTAAAAAATATTCATAATACCAGCAATCCAATTTGAATTGGAGCTGGATTGGATTAAATCGGATCAAAGAGAATAATATCTAAAATTTGAAAATCGTATTTAAATAAATACTTAAAATCCGAATCAATACTCAGACTTTGTGAGCAGAACTGCAGTTTTTTAAAATGTTCTTTAGCTGTTATACATTGGTTAATGTGGCCTCTGTGATCACTAAGAGGCTTTTTCAAACATCCTGTCTCCAGCTCTCCGGTTCCACCAATCTTTCGCTCCCACTATCCTGGTTTTTCTGTAAGTGGTTAACCCTAATGGACGGCAGCAGAGAGATCCATAATGGCGCACAAAGAGACCGAACTTTCCAGGAACCGTCAATGATCCAGCATCTGAAATATATTCCCTTATTTTTCCAAGGGAAAAATGGCGGGTATCTGAGCTAATAATGGTTCACCACAACAAATTCTTCACTTAATTTCTGCTTTTTAGTTTTTGCAGATTTAGCTTGAAATTCAGAGTAGCTGGTTTAAAAGTAAGATATGAGTTTATAATTATTTACAAACCATGTAGTTTTGCTCTGCTTTGTAATGACCTATTCACTTGTGTTGGTTTATCGCATACATTTTTGTAAATACATGGAATGATTGCTCTTGCAATACCGAAATCTTAATTTTGTACTTTTTTTAATGATGACTTCAATAAAGTTTTCCGCTCTGTCTTCTCTCTCAGGCCTGATTACTGGTGGTGACAGGATGATGAAGATAAAGGGAGGAGGCCACAGCCGAAGGTGCAGACCTCGCTAGATCCCCACCTTTCCCAACAACCCCTTCCCTCCACCATCACCATCCTCATCAGTCATCTCAGCTGCTGCTATCCATCCTCGCTGGCAGCATGGCCAACCACCTGGAGTTGATCCAGGAGCTGCAGCAGCTGGACAAGGTGCCCAGTCTGGAGAGGCTGCGGGCAGCTCAGAAGCGCCGTAGCCAGCAGCTGAAGAGGTGGGCCGTGTATGAGAAGGAGATGCAGAACAAGAAGAGGAAAGCTGACAAGAAGAGTCGCAATTTACTCAGCCTCCAGCAGTCAGAGTCCAAGAGGAGGGTGTCCTTTGCTGCTAGTGTGGCACTTCTGGAGGCTTCGGCCAGGAATGATCCAGATGAAGGTAAATGGTTTGGAATTCTTGATAGAAATAAGCCATAGAAAAAGTCATTGCAAAGGCAAAGTTTTGTTCAGCTTCTTTGATGAACTGTTTTAGAGCATTGAAGACATTGTTTTCTGCTGTAAGGCATCATTAATTATTTGAATTAAAACCAGAGACCACAGTCCACTGTAAGCATTAGACAGCCATTAAAAGCAGTTTTTACTCATTTAAACTAGAAAGATAATGTAGAGTTGACCGTCTTGTATGAGCACTTAGACTGGTTAGCACTGCTAACATCTTACACTGTCAACAGCAGTCTCACTGTGTTTTATTTAAATAAGTTTTCACTACTTATGTTACACAGAAAGGTTTAACAACCATTATTCTTTGCCTTTTTGGAAATTATTTCCAGTTTGACTTTTGGTGGTTTATTGAGCCCACACTTCAGTTGGGCCCTGACCTGTATTTCTGGAACCCCTCCTCTGGATTTGCATTAAAGGCAAAAGTTAAAAGAAATAACACGGTGCATGCTATATCATGTTCAGGCTTCCTGTTATTTTCTGAGGTCAGTTTCCAGGAAGTTGGTTTCTTTACCAGTTTGAAGAAACATACCAACGATACATATGAGTTGCTTTCATACTGTAAGTGTTAAGTACTTAAAATCTAAATATTACAAAAGCTTCAAATTACCAGCCTCTGCTAAAGTCCGTCTATTGGAAACTACTTTTAACCATTTTTTAATAGCTGGAGTAGAATAGAAATAAAGAATGTGGAAAATGGCCAAGTTTATAGAATGTATACATTTTTCTGTTATCCAGAAGATTAAAAACATCCTGTGACAAATTATTTCAATTTAATTAATGTCACATATCTGAATTGCCCCATGCCTACTTTAATTTTTGTCAACCTATTGGTCAGTTCACAGATCCTGAGAGAAGCTCCTTTTTTCTTGTTCGGTTGTTTTAGGTGAGAGTTTTCAATCTTGATTTTCCTCCCCCAGTTTTAAACAAACAGAATGAAGATACCATATATTTTAAAACTGTAAACAGTCAGTACTTAGTTTGGCGAAAAATTCCTTCAAATGTGACAAACACTCATACATAAAAAAAAAAAAAAGTGCAGAATTTGGAAATGGGAAACGCTATCCATCCTACAGTAGCCTGTATGAACTGTGCATATGTGTCCACAAAAAGGACATTTCCCTTTTGAATATTTTCTAACATATTTTTAAGTCCTCTGATTTAATTTAAAAACAAGTCACTTAAAAAAAAAGATTGATTGGAATGATTTCCCTTCAGTAAAGACACTGGCAGTAGGAATGATGCATTTGCTGGTAAGGGGAAATATTATTTTTTTCTTTTATTTGGTCATCAGTCAGGGACAGTTGAAATGAAAATGCCGATATTCCAGTCACCAGCCGCTCTCTCTATCTCTGTGTATTTCATTGCAAAATGCTCTGGCATGTTCCTGAACTGACAAAATATTGGAACAGCTCTATGATTCTGCGGAAATGTTGAGCTTCGTCTCGTACATCTCAATATGAAAAAGGCAGGAAAACAATTAGCTCAGCCTGGCTGTTGAAAACGTGTCTGAAACCAAATTTGTTTTGCCACAGGTCTGATTTATCATTGTGAGCATAATAGAGGTGTCACACTGAGATGAAACTCTGCCAGTCTTTTAATTAAAAAGTCCCCCCATTTAGAGATTATTTGTTGTTTTCCACCAGTAGAGATAGTCCCATAATTTGACAGTGTGATGCTTAATGGATAACATATTGCTAACTTTTATATTTTACATCTAATTTTACGTCATTATAACCTTTGAGTTGTTTAAACTCTTTTTCTCACAACACAACCGGTCTATGGTGTGTTTATGCTGTCTCTTTGCAGCTGTCTCGTCAGTTTGAAAAAACCCACAAGGCTTCGTTATTTTCATCGTAATTATAATAACAGACTAGAATCTATGGACTTGTAGAAACATGCACATCAGCTGAGGACCGTGAAGTGCAGTAAGTGGTAAACACACTTTGGTTGACGGTTTTTAGAGTTGTGGTTTTGGGTTAATTTGGGAAATGTTTAAAGAACATTTAAGGATTGGTGCTTCTGGGCTGCAATGTAAGGTAGAATTCACAGAAAGTCATTTTAGGGGTCTTAGACCTTCCCCAGTGATCTACACTTTGATCTTCAAGAGTTTTAAAGGGCAGCTTTCATGTCAAGTTATGTCATGACGGACTACACAGCCCCTTTAATGCTGTTGTATTGTTTGAAAGATTATACAAGATGTGAAAAGGTCAAGTTTTAAGCTTTAAATGTATAAAAAGGGCTAATAATCTCAACAAGTAATTTACCCTCAGTCAAACTTGTCTGAAAACAGACTTTTATCCAGTTGGAAACAATTTGTGGCGAACGATAAAACTGGATGAACAGAAATAAACACCGACCAACAGTATTTGACTTCTTTTACTGACAATATCAACAGATCACCAATTCTTGGTAAAACATTGGTTGAGGGGCGGTGATTTAGAGCTGTCTTGAAGCCACATGACCTTGATCCCTTGCAGTCAACTAGTTGATGGTGAAGTTCTACCAGATCATTTCAAGGACAAATGAGAGGTCCATATCTTAGGATCTGAAGAAATGTCTGCTTGAAGAAGACAGATGATCCAACTTAGCACTAAACCTACAACCAAACACTAAATGAATCAATGTTGCAGTCAAAGGCTGGACTCCAACCTGATTGAAATGCTGCGATAGGGACCCTAGAGAAGCTGTGCATAAACAACGTCAAGCTTTCTTACTACTGTTGCATACATTTTGCATCAATCTTATATATATATATATATAAAATCCTATGTGAATTTGTGCAGGGCATCCATCTAATCACCTACCTAAAAGACCCAATTATTTTTCTGTCTGATAAATAAATAGGTTAGTCTTAATGCTGCTTTGCTCTCTAGTCTCCTAATCTTTACCTCTATAACTACCTACCTCTAGCTTTATTACCACTTTCATGTACTTCAGTTGTATCTTCCCAAAGCAACTTCAAGTTATTCTCCAACTAGTAGTTTCAAACCTTTTGTGAATCCTTTTATTGAAATAAATATATATATGCAAGATATATATGTATATGTATATATAGAGAGATAGATATATATGCAATATATTTTCCACTGCCATCAAACTGCTACCCTGTTGAAAAAGAAATCTCTAAATAATGTGACAGACTCTGCATCACACTGATAACACCAAACCAAAAATATTGTATATTTCCACCATATATATTAATGATCTGAACTTTCATATCAATGCACTTTTTTGCACCATGTTTTTTCTCCCACACTGTTTACATTTGATTACTGCTGCACTTTAAGGAATGGAAATGTTCATTTGCTCTCTGAAAAGCTGTACTAAACAAAACTTTGTTTTGTATACACTTAAAAGTTGTCTAAGTCAAATGCAACGTGTGTGTGTGTATATATATATATATATATATAAGTTACTTTCCACTGCTTTCATATGCAAGCAGTGGAAAGTAACTTTTGGACATAATGCACATCAAACTTTATTTTCACACTTGAGACACACTGAAAGCCAATTTCTTTGCTCCGTTTTTGCACGTTTCATATGCAGACGCTTTTGTCAGTTCTCCTTCCTGCTGACAGTGCCCAGGCAAAAAACGTCTGCTATCACTGCTGTTTAATGAGGGTGACTGTGAAAGAGGCAGGGTGATACGAAGCAGAAGGAAGACAGGATGTAGTGTTGCCCACACAGCCCCAGTGGCAGCTGGCAGCTCCGAAGCCTGATAATCTTCCCTCTCGTTCCCTCTGGTCCCCAAATGCTCGATCAGGCGTTGCGTCTTCACACACTGTGTTGTTCCAGCAGACTGTACCAGGGATTTACTTGTTCGTGATTATCATATTGGGTCAAATAAATAAAGGAAAAGATACTTTTGAATGAGATATTTGTGAAAAATCGTTCAAATATAAAAAAAAGTAAATCCGACTTTTGAGAAAACTGGTATGGCAATTTTTGACCCAAGGGCGACTTAAAGCAGAGAAAAGATATTGACAAAGACTGAAAAAGAATAGTTACAGATTAAGAATGGAGGAAAGTAATTCACAAAACTACAAGTTCAAAATGTCATCAATTATGCAACATGCCTTAAAAATGTGGATGGTATCTCTTGGACATTTAGACAAATGTAAACAAAACACAGAGGTTGAGACATCAACCTGAGGCTGGATGTACTAAGACTGTAAGGCGATGAGATGCAGGAAAGCCTCGCATTTAATCTGTGATTTGTAGGGGTAGACGAGTTGCTTCCTGTAGTTGTCGGTTTCCTCTTTTTGCGCTCTGTGTGTTAACATATATAGAGTAGTCATTTTTAGTATTCATGCTTCATAAATGAATCATTTGCTATGAACTTCAGATACACAGTGTTAAAACGGTGGAGAATGTTAAAAGTAGAATCTGCCTGCCTATAGTTGTGTGTGATAAATTCATGTGTGTGTCTCTAAGTGTGTTTTTGTTTTCCTGTCATTAGAACTTCCGCCCCGGGAAGCTCTGGGAGCAAATTCTCCAGCCAGAGAGGAGACAGAGATTTTAAACAATGTCTACTAACTCAAGTTCATGTTTTTGCCAATGCAAAATTATAAAACAGAGCAAAAATAGATCAAAACACCTTGGATGAACTGATTACACTTAAAATCTAGGTACTGGTTTTCGATAACATTCTCACGTATCGTCATGACATATTTGTTAGAGGAAAAGAACAGCTGTGTCTGTGTGATATTTGCCATTCAGGTGAGAGTGGAGAATAAATCAGGTGAATATCCAATGTCACTGCAGTCTATTTTCTCTTGACAGCAGGTCTTATGAGCTGATATTAACATGCAAAGCACACAAAGGGTGTGCAAGATTAGATCAAGAGGGGATAGAAGGAGCCTCAAAGTAATCAGCCTTAACCTGTTAAATCCTATAGAATGGCAATTTTATTAAATGTTTTTTTTATGTTATCACAGT